TTCCTGCATCCATAGAGAATGGATTCTATCCACTAGAAGTTTCTGCCTTGATAAGTTCAGTTCTGACTGTTCCTCTTATTGTAACCCTTCAAGTTCTTGTTGTAATTGTTCTAGCTCTTGGCGTGTACGTCCTGAGGTAGATTTGCTCCATTCCTTTAGATATTTTTTACAATGGGAGATTTTAGCATCCATGCGGTTAAGTGGGGAGCCAAAACGGTCAGTCATCCATCCTTGGGTTACAACTCCTTCATATCCATCTTGGAGTTGCCATTTGAGCTCATATCGGAATTGCTTCATGGTTATGACAAGCATAGCTTTTAAACTCAGTAAAAGTGGACAGTGATCTGAGCCAATTCTCGTGCAATGGAATAGCTGAGCATTTGGGAATAACATGCCCCATTCATCATTTATCAGAGCCTTATCCAACCGTTCCTTAATATTGCCCCTCAGCCATGTGTATTTGGATCCTCTATAACCAACTTCTCTTAATGAGCAAGTACAGATGAGTTGTTCGAGTAATCTTCTATCAGTTACCAAAGGAAGTCTTCTGTCCTGTTTTTCACTTCTATCTCCTATTAGATTTAAATCTCCCATTATTAGCCATGGAATAGAGATAGGTCGTCTAAAATTCATCATTCTGCTCCACATTGTTCTCCTTAGTTAGACATTTGGCTCCACATAGATAAAAGAAAAATGCCATGAATTAGAGTAATCATCATCTGCGCAGCATCCATCATATTTTTATTAGTGTAGTAAATTGAGATGTGAACTTCCTTTGTCCACCACAAGGCTAAACCCCTCGAATAGCCTTGCGGTTCAACATAAACACTATTTGAGAATGCATACTTTCTTCTCAACCGCTCCAAGTATTTCTTGTGTTTTTTGGTCTCCATCAAAAAAACCAAGCAAGGGCGATGTTTAAAGATAAGATTAGTGAGCTCCCTTCTCGTCAGGGCTTGCCCAAGGCCCTGACAATTCCATGAGAGAATCTTCATGCAGGAGGTGGTGGCTGCCAAGGGCCAGCCGCCGATGCCCCTTTTAGCATATCATCTGCATATTGCTCAGTTATTGTTGATGGAGAATTTGAGGACTTTATAAAGAAATTACCTGGAGCATGACTTGCATTAGAAACCAAAGGGATAAAAGGGGGTTCTTCAATGGATCTTTGAGTTGAATGAAATGGTTGGAATAAGGCGACGCGAGAGTCTGGTTGAAATTGCACTTGACGAGCTAACTCCTTTAGTTAGATTCTGCGTCGAACTCGGTGAACTGAGATGAATTCTTCCACATCTGTGAAAAATCCCTTTTTATCTTGTTTATAAAAATCAAACTTGCCCACTGCTATAGCCTCTTGCACTTGGTTTAGAGGACATTGTAGCCCAATTGGTTCATTGGGTTGTATGCAAGCCTTTTTTAATATTTCACCTCCGACCCAGTATCATTTTTTTGTTTCTGTCTTGGAATTATTACCCAAAGACAATTGGGCTTCTACTTGTTGGGACAATAATAAGCCCAGCTCTGTGTTAACCCAAGTCCCATCCAGTTTAGCAGGTTTCTCCTTCATCTTGTGTGAAGAGTCTAGATGCTTGTCTAGCTCAGAAGATAATAGGTTGGTCACCGTCACATTTAATGAAGGAGGCGTCTGCAGTTGGATGACAAGCAGAATTAATGGAAGTTCTGAGTTTGTTTTAGGAGTAGTAATCATTCCACTGGATGACTGCAACTCAATCTCATTTACTATTGTGCCCAAGAAAGGATGGAGAGGTTGATTTACGTGCTCCTCTTCCTGTTGTACATCACGCTCCATCTCTGAGGACTCCTCGTCACCTACCACTAGCTTCTGCCCAACTGAGTTTGCAGGTATTGCTAATTTTACAGCCTCTGATCTGTTTTTTGTTCCTTGTGTCTGTTTGGCCTGAGGTGGTTGAAAAGATTTTTTTTCCTTCCCGGATGGATCCAAAATGTTTTCTGGGTGAGTAAGCTGCTGCTCTCATCTGTGGACCATACTGCGGTTTGGGTTGAGAGATGTTTCCATCATCATCCTTCCATCTAAAACCATCACATGATTTTTTAGTGTGTCCCAGCATCCCACATCTATAGCAGAAGTCAACTAATTTCTCATATTTAAATTCTGCAGTCCTCATTTCATCCCTTGCTGTTGAAATTGGAAACCTGTGAGAAGTGGATATGCACATCAATTTTAACTAAAAAACTTTCTAGGCCCCCTACTGTGGACTGGTCCCAAGAGATTAAGCGGGGGAATAGGGACCCAATAAGCTGTATATTTTCCAGGGTCATACATCCCTTTGGAAGGCCATGAACTTGCACCCAAAATTCTGAGTGTGAGAATACAATTTCATCAAAACGCTGTGAAGCCGGCCAATCTTTGAGAACAAGATGGGATCCTTTTACAAACCACGGAGACTCTCGAAAGATTGAATTTTTTTCTATTTCATCAGAGAGGATAAAAATGTAAGTATTTTTAGATTGTTTATGCAATTTGAATCCTCCCTTCGGTCTCCAAGGACTCAGTGGCGGAGCCAAGGGGTGCGAGGGGGTGCTCACCCCCCAAAATTTGAAAATCTTACAAATTAGTATATGGAAAATTATTTAGCCTCCCTTGAACTTTTAAACCCCCCCTCCCAAAAAAATGTCTGCCTCCGCCCCTGCAAGGACTCTTTAAGATGTTATATACAACTGTTCTGCAAAAGAGAAACGGTGAAGTTCACCATATTCTGTATCTTTACTGGGGAGGCGGAGAATCGGAGTGTGTTGCCCCGCTCTCGAGACACCACCACCCAGTACTAGTTGTGTGTTAACCATTCTCCCGGAGTGTCAAAAATTGAATATAGGGAGTTTAAGCAGGTCTATGCTTCAACAGTGGGTAGAGATTTTCCTCGAAACGAGCAGTATGTAGAATTTTTTGAAACAGCAGTAGGTAGAGATTTTTTTTTTTGGAAACAGGAGCAGTAGGTAGAGAGTTGTTGTTTTTTTTTTTTGAAACGGGAGCAGTAGGTAAAGATCTACTTCTTCAACAAACTCAACTACTTGATTGGTACCACATAAGATAGAGTTCAGGGTCTGTAAAAACTCACCATAAATCCACACGATCAAAATCTTGGCGAGCCGAAGATGATAGCCTGAAGGTAAATACCTCAGGAAAGCAAGTGGGAAACCCCAGAGAGAGAACCTCCTAGAAAATCCACGTGGTGGTGCTATTTATCCGCTTCAATTGGGAGGATGCAAACTCTCCGATAAAAATATCTCATCTTTTCTCCAACCAGTCAACCACCAAGCCTAGCACGAATGGATGTCCCTGTCCTCACTCCCATTGTAGATTTCACAATAAAGAAGTTGATTTCGGCTATTGGCGAGCAAATCAACCTTGCGGTGAGCTTTAAGAAGGAGCTTACAAGGCTCAAGGACAGACTAACCATGATCCGGGCTTTGTTGCAACGTGCAGGAGAAAGGGAGGTGACAGACCCAGCTGTCAAACTGTGGCTAGAGAGGCTGAGAGATGTAGCTAGTGATGCCGATGACGTGCTGGACGAGGTTGCCTATGAAAATTTGAAGCGTAAAATAGAAATTCAAGACCATATGAGGAGAAAGGTGAGCTACTTCTTTTCCCACTCCAATCCTCTTATATTTCAGAGTAAGATGGCTAAGAAGATTAAAAATATTATTGCCTTTGTGGATGATATTAACAAGCAGGCCCAAGGGTTTGGACTTCAACCCATACCTGTTGGCCTGGGCGTGGAACATGGAAGAGGAAACCCACAGACTTCCTCTTTTTGTGATGTGTCACAAGTTGTAGGGAGAGATGATGAAGTGTCCAGAATAGTGGAGTTGCTAATAGAGTCTACTAATCAACTACCCCTTTGTGTCATATCTATTATAGGTATGGGGGGTTTAGGCAAAACCACTTTAGCACAATTTGTGCGCAACAATGTGTGCATCAAAAATGATTTTGCTAAAATAATGTGGGTTTGTGTGTCTGAAAATTTTGATGTGGAAAGAATTTTAAAGGAGATGTTAGAGTCTGTGACTGGGTCTGGTTGTGGAAATATTACAAATGTGGATACTGTCATTCAAAACATACGAAATGAGTTGGCAGAGAAAAACTATCTTCTCATATTAGATGATGTGTGGAACTTAGAAAGGCAAAAATGGGAAGAATTAAGGAGTCGTCTGCTAGGAATAGGTAACAATTCCAGGAGTCGGATTGTTGTGACTACTCGAGATGAAAGGGTAGCATCAACCATGGGAACATTTCCTGAACACAAGTATCATCTTAAGGAGCTGGAGAAGGATGAATGTTTGTCTATAATCAAGCAAAGGGCATTTAGGAACTCTTCAATACCTTCAGATTTGGAACCCATTGGAAGGGAAATTGCTGAAAAATGTGGAGGTGTGCCTTTAGTTGCAAATGTTATTGGGGGAACTTTGTGCAATAACAGGAACATAGATGACTGGTTGTCAATTAAAAATAAAATGAATGCACTGGAATCACAGAAGGAAGATGGTGGGATCTTATCTATCCTAAAATTAAGTTTTGATAGATTACCAGATCCAGCTTTGAAACAATGTTTTGTATTCTGTTCAATTTTTCCCAAGGATTATGTCATACAAAGGAAGATACTAATTGAGCTCTGGATGGCTGAAGGATTTATTCAATCACCTGAAGGAAGTTCCAAGTCAATGGAGGATATTGGTAATGAGTATTTCAATGACTTACTATCATATTCCCTATTTCAGGATGTGGAAAGTGATGACGAGTTGAAAGATCTTACATGCAAAATGCATGATTTAATTCATGATCTTGCTCAATCTGTTTCAAATCATGAGATGGTGATTTTGGAAACTATATCTGAGCACAACATTCCTAAAAATGTTAAACATTTGAATCTAATTTATGGTGGGGAAATGGTGCCTACAATTTTAGGAGATGTTGCTCAAAACTTGCACACTTTATTTTCAAAACATGATTTTTTCAGTGGTATGCAGATAGATCTTAAAAGGCTACGAGTTCTCAATCTCTGTGGTGCTATTATTGAAGAACTATCTTTTCATTTTGACAACATGAAGAGTTTGAGGTTCTTGGACATTTCAGAAACTGGAATAGAAGAGTTACCCAAGTCCATCAGCAAGTTGTATAATTTGCAAACATTTAGATTCATGGATTGTGAATTTCTGGAAATGCCTTCGGAAGGAATTGGTGATTTAATCAACTTGAGGCATATTCACTTCAGTGACAGAGATACCATGCCTGCAAACGTGGGGAGGCTAACTAGTCTTCAAACGTTGGGATCCTTCTATGTGGGTACAAGAAAGGGCCTTAAAATTGAAGAATTGGGCAGCTTAAGCAGACTCAAGGGAAGTTTGATGATTGAGAATCTTGAGCTTGTTAAAGACAAATCAGAAGCAAAGCTAGCAAAACTACATGAAAAGGCAGTTGACACGTTGGAATTATGGTGGAAACATAACAGGAGTGAATTAGAAGTAGAAGGCAATCATGATGAAGAGGTTTTGGAAGGCCTTCAACCTCACCCGAATCTACAAAAATTAGTAATTGGTTGTTATGGAGGTAAAAACTTGCCGTCATGGATCTTGAGTAGCAATGAATTGTTCTCCCCCAACAATTTCAATTTAGTGGAACTGGTAATTAAAGATTGCAGAAAGCTAAATAGCATTGCAGTGATCAATGGGCTTTCATCTCTAAAGCAGCTTTCAATTTCTGATTGTAGTGAATTAACTAGTATTGCTGACAGAGCATTTGAAAAAATGTCTCTTGAAAAAATAACTATACGGCGTTGTCAAAAGTTGGAGAACCTTGGAGCCACACGCCTTCCTCTTGGCTTGAAGGAATTGTGGATTGGTGGTTTCTCAAAAGAGACAGAGGAATCCCTAGATTTCAGTTTCATTCACTACGTCCACACCTCCCTTGAAAGGTTGGGTTTGGGTGAGTGGCAAAAACTAACTCAGCTTCCACATCAAATTCAACATCTCACTGCTCTGAGGGAATTCAAAATTTTGAGATTCGAGAAATTGGATGCTTTACCGGAGTGGCTGGGAAACCTATCCTCTCTTGAAAGTCTAGCGATTGAGTGTTGCTCAAATCTGGAATGTTTGCCTTCTGCGGAAGCCATTCTTCACCTCACCAAATTGAAAAAGCTCAGAATTCGGGGTTGCCCTGGATTAAGCATAAGTTGTAATAAGGAAACCGGTGCTGAGTGGCCCAAAATTTCCCACATTCCATACATTGATTTACAGTGAGAGATCATCCATTCCCAAGATTGAGGTTTCAAAGTGGCAAGAAGAGGTAAGTCCCATTCTCAAATCCCAACTGCAATTCCTCACGAATGCTAATACTCTTTTCTTCCCTCATAATATCATCAGGTATCTTCATTATTTCACTTCTGCTACATCATTTCTTTATAAATTTCTTGAAAACAATTCACTCTTCATTTGATGAGTCAAATTTCATTATTTTGTTAAGTTATGGATGAATTCTAAATTTCAAAAGCCAAAAACTGTTAAATTTCCTATTACTAGACTAGATAGACTCAATAAACTCCAAACATTGGGAAGGGTAAACTGTTAATTTCCCCCAAAATGAGGATTTTGATCTGGGGGGGATTAGCTCTATATTATTGTGCTTGTTTCTGACTTCTAAGTAGACTATATTAATTTCAGTATGTTGATTGTGATGTGAATATAGATTTATTAATGCATGAAATTTAGTATGAAATTTGTTGCATTCGTTTCTCCGCTTGATCTCTTCTTTTAACAATGTTATATTGTTTTTAGAGATCATTAAATGTCAGAATAAATTTCCCATTGCTAACTACTCCCCACTGCATTCTCTGTCTTTAAATTTGCCCTTGGGTCAGCATTAGATCATTTCCCATTGCAAAAAACTTGTTCTTGTGAACCAAAGACTTGATACATACCTAATACTGGAATGCATTTTATCATTGCAGGCATGGAATTCTTCAAGTTTCGAAAAACCTGAGATTGTCTGACACTGTCCCTCTGGAGACTTTTCTAGGAAAATAGGATATGTCTTCTATTTTCTTCTACTCCTCCTTTATTTGTATCATTGTATTTCCTGGACTTATGTAATGGCGAGGATACTGTGTTTGTTCCATGGCTTGTTTTAATTTCTGTAAGAGAATGCTAAACACTTGCTGGGTTCTGTAAATGATGATTCAACTGTCTGTTGCATGTGTCTGTAGATATGCTTATATATATCAGTGTATGTTTTTATGTCACTGGCTGTAAAAGTTAAAGATACCTAACAAATCCTCATCCACTAAGCAAGCAGTGGCAAAAGATGTTGATTCTGCTATGCTTTCTAGGTCTTATCTGAGTCATATTTGTTATATATGGAAAATGGAATTGCATTTGATTTGAACTGAGCACGGTTTTATGCTTGAAAATTTGAATATTGTGTTTTTTGAGATGCCCAATTTTACTCAGCATGGAGTATGTCCTTTATCCAACCTAAAAAATCTTGTGCCCTTCCTGAAAGGTATATTTCATTCAAACCTCAACTCCATTTTTTCTCAACTGTATTTCTTTATAAATGATCATTAATATCTATTTAATTTGTGGCATTAACTGTGTGAGACTGCCAAGGCAATACCAGCTATCAAGCGAACACCCATCTTTCTTGAGGGTTTGGCAGTGTAAGTACTATAGTCGCATACTTTTGTTTTATGTAGGAGCATGCTTGTGACTAGAATAGCTTGGTTTAATAGTTCTGTATGGTATGCATTCTGGATCTCTTAGACCATCTCCTATCTGATGGCTGCTGAGCTGTCAAAACGTTTATTTGTCTCTATTGTAAGTATCTTTATCGAATTACCATGTGCAATTACTTTCTTAACTTATATTGTATTTCCAGTATGCAATTCTGTTGTCAATAATGTCTTCCATAGTTGCATTTGACGGGGTCAATTATCCATGAATGTGTCCGTGTGTGTTGTGTGTATGTTTAGGCTGTTGTCCTTAAAGGTTAAAACAACCTAATAGATATTCACCCAATAAGCTAGCAAATATCAATAGCAGAGGAATGGAGAAGCAGCTTCACCAAGAAAAATTTGATGATTCTGGTATGCTTTCTAGAGCTTAAAT